TTCCTCATCTTCATCCTCATGCTCATTCTCACAATCATCGTCATCCCAATCCTCATCATGATCCTCATCCTCATCCTCATACTCATTCTCATCCTCATTCTCATACTCAACCTAAGCCTCACCCTCAACATTATTATCATCGTCATCATTAACGTCATCACCATCATCGCCACCATCATCTTCATCATCATTCTCATCCTCATTCTCATACTCAACCTAAGCCTCACCCTCAACATTATCATCATCGTCATCATTAACGTCATCATCATCATCGCCACCATCATCTTCATCATCATTCTCATCCTCATTCTCATACTCAACCTAAGCCTCACCCTCAACATTATCATCATCGTCATCATTAACGTCATCATCATCATCGCCACCATCATCTTCATCATCATTCTCATCCTCATTCTCATACTCAACCTAAGCCTCACCCTCAACATTATCATCATCGTCATCATTAACGTCATCATCATCATCGCCACCATCATCTTCATCATCATTCTCATCCTCATTCTCATACTCAACCTAAGCCTCACCCTCAACATTATCATCATCGTCATCATTAACGTCATCATCATCATCGCCACCATCATCTTCATCATCATTCTCATCCTCATTCTCATACTCAACCTAAGCCTCACCCTCAACATTATCATCATCATCATCATCATCATTTTCCACATCATCATGATCCTCTTCAACAAAATCATCAAATTCATCATCATCATCATTATCATCCTCATCACCATCATCATCAACATCATCATTATTTTCATGCTCGCCTTTATCCTCGACCTCATCTTCGTCCTCAACTCATACTCATTCTGATCCTCACACTCATCATCCACATCATCATCATCATTATCATCCTCATCCTCATCCTCATCCTCATCATCCTTATCCCCATCCGCATTCTCATCCTCATGCTCATCCTCATCGTCCTCATCCTCATTCTCATCCTATTCCTCATCCGCATCCTCGTCGCCCTCCTCATCCTCATCCTTATCCTCATCCTCATCTTCACCCTCATCATCATCCTCATTCTCATAATCATCCACATCATCATCGTCATGATCCTAATCGTCATTCTCATCCTCATCCTCATCGTAATACCACTCCTAATCCCCATTCTCGTCCTCATCCTCAAAATCATCATCATTTTCATCCTAATCCTCATCGTCATCCACATCCTAATCCTCATCCTAATCCTCATGCTCATTCTTATCCTCATCCTCATCCTTATCCTCATTCTCATCCTCATCCTCATCTACTTCAACATCCTGATCCTCATCCCATTCCACATCCACTTCCTCATCCTCGTACTCATTCTCATCCTCATCCGCATACTCATTCTCATCCACATTCTCATATTCATCCTCAACCTAATCCTCACCATCATCATAATCATCATTATCATCATCATCATCATCATCATCATCATTCTCACCATCATCATCATCATCATCATCCTCATTTTCATCCTAATCCGCATCCTCATCTGCGTACACATCCTAATCCTCATTGTCATCCCCATCCTCATTCTCATCCTCATTCTCATCCTCATCCTCATCCTCATCCTCATCCTCAGCCTCATCCTCATCCTCATCCTCATCCTCAGCCTCATCCTCATCCTCATCCTCATCCTCAGCCTCATCCTCATCCTTTCATCATCAAAATCCTCATCCTCATCCTCTTCCTCATCTTCATCCTCTTCCTCATCCTCATTCTCATCCTCATCCACATCATCATCGTCATTATCCTCATCGTCATCCCCATGCTCATCCTCATCATCATCCTCATCCTATTCCTCATGCTCCTCCTCATCCTCATCCTCATTCTATTCCTCATGCTCCTCCTCATCCTCATCCTCATCCTATTCCTCATCCTCATCCTCATTCTCATCGTAATCCTCATCCTCATCCTCATTCTCATCCTTATCGTCATCCTCATCCTCATCCTCATACTCATACTCATCCTCTTCCTCTTCCTCGTCCTCATTCTCATACTCATACTCATCCTCCTGCTCCTCCTAATCCTCATCATCATCATCATCCACATCATCATCTTCAACCACATCCTCATCCTCATCCTCATCCTAATCCTCATCCTCGTCATCATCATCTTCCTCATCGTCATCGTCATCCTCATCATCCTCATCCTCATCCTCATCCTCATC